ACCGTCGACCGTCTATATTTGTTTGTCGGGTGGCCTCGCGTTGTAAAACCAACAGAGGAAAAGCGGCGAAAGCGGCTTTGATGACAACAACCAAATACTACGCATTCAAAATTTCTCTTTGTCATCCTATTCGATGAATTTGAAAAAAAAAACCGTCCTCTCAACAGCATTTTACACCGTCAAACCATAGAAATGGTAGAAATAGTGAACGATGGTGTGAGTGCGGTGTTCAATCCTTTTTTTAAAAAAGATAGTTCCTACTCACAGTAAGTTGTTTTCCAACGTCCGGATTTCGAGCCCTTTAGCTCATCATCAGGCTGAAAGATTTCTACAACGCAACGTTCCAATGAAGAGCTGCCTTTTTAATGGCGCTCAATTTGAACGTGCGAAAAACGGGAATTATAATACAAGTGAATATTATAATGGTAAATACTGTAAGAAATTAATTATAAATTAGTGATTAAAGAGAAAAGATAAATTAGAAAAATAATAACATTTAAAATAATTAATTTGATTAAGGACGTGAAATACAAGAATCTGATCAAATAAATACAATTAGGCACAACTCCATATTCAATTTAACTAAGTTAACTTTAACTGTTTCCCCAAGTCTTATTTTACGTTCATTTTTTACTAAAATTGAGGCAGGTAGTACTAAAATAGGAATTCTTCTGGGTGTATCTACAGCACCAACTTTTATTCTAATTTCAATTAATTATTCTTTGTATATAAGGTCTTGGTTGAAATGAAAAAGTTACTGTCACGAGCGGGATTCGAACCCACGACCTTCTTCGGCTCAGTACGCCGCTCTAACCACATGACCTATCGTGGCTTCGATCCATTCGGACACCAACTCCCCATCTCAACCTAAAACCTTTCGAAGTTCACCATAGCTCAAGTGGTTAGAGAACGGCGTATTGAGCCGAAAGTCGTGGGTTCGAATCCCACCCATGACATCTAGGGTGACATCGATCCACTTTGAAAGGTTGTAGGTTGAGATGGAGAGTTCGTGTCCGAATGGATCGAAGCCACGATAGGTCAAGTGGTTAGAGCGGCGTACTGAGCCGAATGTCGGGGGTTCGAATCCCTCCCGTGACATTTACGCAGAATACAGACAATTTGAGTGAGTAGAAATACTTTGATTGAATATAAAAAATATATTTTTTTGCATTGTATAAATTCACTTTTTTCCACATCCTACATGTATTTGTTAAATTTAAACAATATTTGTAAATCCCAGGCCCTGAAGATGATCTCAATAAAGTTCGAAACGTTGGCACGATAAAGAAAATGTTTTTCTGAAACCTACATCATACCAGACCGCATCTCACGATTTCTGAATAATCATGACAGTTAAGTTTTTCATTTCAACCAAGACCTTACATACAAAAAATAAACATGTTTTTATCTACTTTCATTTCGATGTATACTGTTTATCTACTGTATAAAATACAGTCGAGCCTGGGTTAGTGAGAACCAGACATAGTGAGAATCCTCTGTTATTGAAAATTTTTGCTGCCCCCGTCCCTTCACGGGGTCAAAAATTGGGTTACAGAGCAAATCTGACTTCTGTTGGTGAGAATTGCAATTGGCGGTGGTTACCTGCACAAGTGAAACGTTTTCATGACCTCTCATGAGTGAAAAGTTACTGCAACCGTTAGACCAAGGATAAAGAATTTTAAGCTTCTGTATAGAAAAGAGATTGCCTCATACTTTCCTCCATCAAGCAGTATTGAGTGTGTATGAAAGTCGGTATGATGTTAAATCATGGACGATTGCCAACTGTTTTAGAAATTGTGGGTTCATCAGATTTCATATAAATATGGAAGGTAAGAGGAAGAACAGCAAGTAACAAGCGAAGATTGGAGTATAGTGCTCTCCCATTGCCCATATTCTTCGGATGTAGATGAAATACCTTCATCCAAATATTATGTTTTGCTAGACGACAATGCCATAACCGCCGATCGAAACAGTGGCAAGGAAATTTTGGAACAATGCGGAAGTACGTAAATACTAGCTTAAGGCGAAGAGAAGTCTGGCTGGACTTCAGCGTTTCTTAGAAAGAAATAGCCGAGTTCATGAGGTTTTTGAGTATTGCTGGCCGTTGAGAAAAAAATTCAAAAATGTGGCTCTTTAGTGCAGAAGAAAATTGCCGAGTTTTTGATGTAAAAAATTCAGATTCATTTCACAGTAGAAATAAAATATTTTCTCAGTAAAATTTAGTTTATCTAAATTTTATTTGAATTTTCAACCACCATCTGGGAAAGTGAGAATTTCTTTTTTTTTTGCATTTTGCATTTTTTTGCCCGGTAATCTGGCTTAATGAGAAACCTCTGTTATTGAGATAAAATTTAAAACCAGTGGTATTCTCACTCACTCAAGTTCGACTGTATATAAAGTTGGTGAAAAAAAATTGTACTCCTCTTACCAAGTGTAAACGCGAGAAAAGACAAAAACAAAAAAACAAAAAAGGAAATTAATCTACGTACGCCCAGAGAGGTCTAATCATTGTCTTGTAAATTAAAAGTTTATTTTCAAGGTCTAATTTTGATCGTGAGTCGAGTAGTATTTTTAACAATTTATAACGTCGGTTTGTTTGTTGTCTTTTCAGTTGTGTGTGGGGACTTCAAGTCAGTCGTTTATCCATGAACAGTCCAAGATAACGTACAAGGTGGTAGGCAATGGAACAGACATTTTTACATAAGGTAAAATTGATCTGTGTGCTTTTTGTTAGGTTTATCTTTATTCTCCACTTTGTGAACCATAATGTTAACTCATTCAGGTGTTGTTGTAAGTGTTGAGTGTTAATTGAGGGTTCCGAATTGTGTGTGTCCAAATGTTAACAGGAATATCTGCAGTGTATATGGAAAATAGAAAAGGGCCAAGTATGCTTCCCTGAGGAACACCCTAATCTATTTAAACAAATTGCATGACGAACATAAAAAATCAACGGAACAGAAATCCGTACAGAACACTGAAGATAGCAGACCAAAATGATCGAAGATTAATGTTTTAATTTTCTTAATTTAATTTTTTTTTTTTTTTACGAGGGTTCGCAACATCAGAGGTTATATCAACCCTCGGGATGCCGGTCTTTTTGAAAAAAAAGTCCATTTGTAAGTATGTCGATTATTATTAATGCAGGGCCGCTGGATTCGAACCCGGGACCTTTACCTTACAGTGATGAGCGCCGTGTCAATGCCTAAACCGTTGCGGCCCCTTAATAATGTTTTTATTATTGACGATTTTTTTTCATTATTTGCTTTCTTAATAAGGTGATTATTAACCCTATTAGGATTTATTCGTTGATAAGTATTTAAAATTCAAATTAGGTTGTTGAAATATAAGATTTATATTAAAATATTAAAAACTGGATATTTGTAATTCTTAGGATTTATGTTTTTTGTTTGTAGTTTAGTACTTTTCTTTTTTAAATATTATAGTTTAGATATCGTCCGAGTCAATGGAGACTAGACGAAATTATCTATAACAGGAGTCCCAGGACGTAGCGAAGGATATCAAGAAGTGGTTGCGCTAGTTAGAAGGCAGTGTAAACAACCCTTGTAAAGTAAAGGGGGAGGAAGAGAAGAGAGGAGAAGGTTGTACAGAGGCTAAGATGTTCTCCACCCCTCGGTGAAGGTGGATTGGGGTGGAGTCTAATCGGCTTCTCCTTCTCCCACCCCCTAACCATACCCTCCCCCTTTGCAACCAATGTACCACCACAAAGGCCAGGAATAAACTGGTCGGAATCGGCTTTGAATTCCTCACCCCGTCGCCCTCTCGCCATTACACCAAACGTCTCATCTCATCCTTTAGACTTCGGGTCATGTTATATAACAAATGAATCCAAATTCGCTTAAATATTATACGAAAATAACCTAATAAGCTATGTAGAATATAGCATAATAAATTTGATATTAGTTTATAACAATATAAAGATTATTAGAACTACTAACTACATTCTTTTTTCAGTCATACCATTAATTTAAGAAAGAAGCGACCATTTTCGATCCAACAATTTGTTTACAATAGTTTTAAGTATTTTATAAACTACCTACAATTTTTGAGGAACAGATTAGAACTGGCCCAATGAAATTCAGAGCTTTAGAAGTGATTCAAATAATTTTTGAAAATTGTTGATCATCTGTTCTGGAGTCTCGCCACTCCTTACGAAGTTTTAAAACTTCTCTCTATCAATTAATTAAGGTTTTCAGTTGAGATAAAAAATTCAATGACACGAGAGGGATTCGAACCCACGATCTTCGGCTTGATACGCCGCTGCTCTATCACTTGAGCCATCGTGACCTCGATCCACTCTTGACTCTTATTTTATGTATATCATATGTCAAAAACTACCTTCTAAACCAAAAAAAACTCGTTTTTAAGGAGTTAATTGAGCAACAGGGACAATTCGATCTCGATCAGATTTACCTTTTTACCTTTATTAATTTTAACTATGGATTCAGGGGCGTCGGTGACAGCAATGAGTTAGGCGTTGACACGGCGCTCATCGTCAAGGTAAAGGTCCCGGGTTCGAATCCAGCGGCCCTGCATTAATAATAATCGACATACTTACAAATAAACTTTTTTTTTTCAAAAACACCGGCACCCTGAGGGTTTATATGACCTCTGCTGTTGCGAACCCTCGTAAAAAAAAAAAAAATAATAATCTTCGATCATTTTGGTCTGCTACTTTCAGTGTTTCTATACGGATTTCTGTTCAGTTGATTTTTTATGTCCGTCATGAAATTTGAATAAGTAGATTAGGGTGGTCCTCAGGGAAGCATACTTGGCCCTTTTCTATTTTCTATATACACTGCAGATATTCCTACACATGTTAACATTTAGATACACGCATTCGCTGATGATAAGACAAAAAAACGAAAAAACCCTGTGAATACACTTTTCTAAAACAAATTCATCAAATTGAAATATTTCTTTTTTCATTCAATCCACACTGAACTTGTTGCCTTTTATTATGAGCCGATTAATAGGACTCATTAACAGGTGTTTGTAGAATGTATTTGGTAATAGAATACATTATAATTTCTCGAATTGAAACTAGGCACATTGAATTTTATCATGGCTAACAGTTCATCACAATTTATTGTCCCATTTAGTAGCTTGTAAAGAAATCCCATGTCAAGTAGTTCTCGTCTGTTACTTAGACTGATTAGACCTATTTGCGACATTACATGACCATATTCATGAGGGTCTCTTCTTATCCCACGTTTGAAAGCAGTAATACTCAGAAATTTCTTCTGGACTTGTTCTAGTTTGGTCTCCTTCACAATATAGTGCGGATTCCAGACCACACTGCAATATTCTAATTTTTCTAATAAAAGTGCAATATAAAAGAATACATTTTTATGATTGAAGTCAGCTGATAAAACCCAAGATCGGCTCTCAATTTACTTACCAATGTGTACATCAAAAGACAGCTTTCTATCAAATGTAATACCTAAATTTCTTATTTCTTCCACTCTTTATAGCAAAACACCTTCAATCTGATAGGTATAGTTAATATTATTTGTATTTCTACTTTACGTCATAACTTTACATTTCTGTACATTCAAGCACATTTTATTGTGATGGCACCATAAAGCCAAACAGTCTAGGTCACTCTGGAGCAAGTTACAGTCCAAGACCGAGGTCAAAGATTTGTATACCTATATAACTTGACATCGTCAGCAAACAACTTAATTTTGCTATGTTTAGTGTACCGAGGGAGATCATTTATAAATATCGTAAATAAATGAGAGGATAAGTGTCCTCCCTGAGCAACACCAGATGTCACTTTTATTGAGTTCGATACATAATTGCCACATTTTATCATTTTCGCTTTCTCTAGAGGATGTTAACCATAATATTGTGTTGACTTCAAAATCTGTGAAGAGTAACTTTTTGATCCACCTTATCGAAGGCTTTGGAAAAATCTGTGTATACTGTATCCATTTGGGCCTTAGAATCGAAGGAAGATAAAACATCCTATTGAAGCATAAAAGATTTTTACTAGTTGACCTACCATTAATAAATCCATGCTGATCATCAACAACTTGCTTCAGAATTGGCATTAACATTTCACAGATAATATCTTCAAACATCTTTGGTATAACCGACAATTTACAAATAGGTCTGTAGTTTTCAATATAACATTTATCTCCCGATTTATGTAAAGGTATCACATAGCTTTGTTTCCAAACATCAAGTACAATATTTTCATTAATAGATTTATTAAATAATAGAGTTAAAGGGTTGACTAGAGTTTCTGAACAATTTCTTAAGAATATAGGAGGTAAATCAGGCCCTGCGTTACAATTTATTATTAAACTATTTAATTTTTTACGAGTTATATCACAGATGAGGTTCATGGGTTGAGGTTCATTTGGTTTTGTTGGAGTTTAATAATATAATTGTATTAATTATTCGTAAATAATAAAATACTGCGATTAATAATATTTTTGTTATTAAGTCTGCTAATAAAATGTTTTTATTTAAAATTATGCATTAAAAATTCATATCAAGGAAAAAATAGAATGGTTGTAATAGACCGACAAGGTAGTAGGTTTAAATTCATTATAATCTGATAGGAAATTTTTTTTTATTTACAGTAGCAAGGAAACTACAACAGCCGATTCAAGATTTGCTGCCAAGTTGTAAAGTGTTGAGAATAAGTGATATTTATTAAAAATGAAATATAGTGTTTTTTAAAGAATATTAAAAATTATTAATAGAAGGTGAACTTTTAGGCTTTTACAGCTTTCAATGAAGTATACATTTGATCAGTATTTGAACAAAACTTACAAAATTGCTTATTTCTTCTTCAATATGTATGTTGGTATAAAACTTACAATTGAAGGATTAAAGATCATCAGTTACTAAGATTTTGGTCATTATTATTATTATTATTATTATTAATTTTTAAGGGCATTTTAACGGCTAAGGTCTTTTTTTAAAAACTTTTACATATTTACTTTTTTTTTCTTTTTTTTTTGTTGAGAGAGAGAGAGAGAGCTATCTTTCTTATTTAAATTGCGAATTTGGGAATTGCAGTTTATTACCCCGCAATTTGTATTTTCTTCCATTTCATTTTTCCGCTCCGGCAGCCTCAAAAATTTCTATTATTATTTATTTTTTTTACGAGTGTTTGCAACAGCAGAGGTCATATAAACCCTCAGGGTGCTGGTGTTTTTGAAAAAAAGCCAATTTGTAAGTATGTCGGGTTTGAATGCAGGGCCGCTGGATTCGAACCCAGGACCTTTACCTTACAGTGATGAGCGCCGTATCAACGCCTAAACCGTTGTGGCTACCGACGCCCCCTTTTGTCATTATTGTTATAATATACAGTTTATTTAGAAATCGTGAGATGCAGTCTGGTATGATGTAGATTTCAGAAAAACATTTTCTTTATCGTGCCAACGTTTCGATCTTTATTGAGATCATCTTCAGGGCTCAAAGTGTTTTTCTTCTGTGTAATTGTGTCATTCTTGCGTGTCGTTTGGTACTCTCAACACGACACGCAAGAATGGCACAATTACACAGAAAACAAACACTTTGAGTGAGTAGAAATACTTTGATTGAATATAAAAAATATATTTTGCATTGTATAAATTCACTTTTTTCCACATCCTAAATGTATTTGTTAAATGTAAACAATGTTTGTAAATCCCAGGCCCTGAAGATGATCTCAATAAAGATCGAAACGTTGGCACGATAAAGAAAATGTTTTTCTGAAACCTACATCACACCAGACCGCATCTCACGATTTGTAAATAAATATCGATTAACGGTCACTAATCACCACACATAATATATAGTGTCTATTAATATTTATATTGTAATAACTGATGGTTCTCGACCGAAAAAGAATACAGATAGGCTTTTCATCGGAAGAGCTGAAAAAAAATCAACTTTTGAGGCAAATGTTTTACACGAAGAAAAAAAAACTTCCAGACTGACTGTTTTATCCTGTTCGAATTATCGCAAGATTCCGGCTTAAGGGTAAGGGAGAGAAGGAAATATCGAACAGAAGGTAAAAGGGACACAGAAACGCGAAAAATGAGGTGGTCACCTCATTACCCTCTGTCAGGAGATTTTGAGTGAGGAGGGTAGTTTCGAGAGGGTGTATGTGAGAGTGTGGTCGTATGTGTGCCCCCTGGAGAAGGGGAGGTGCTGAGAGAGAGTCCAGCTGACGGCGGACGAGGGGCTCGGGGCTCGGCTTAGAGAGCACCATCACATCACCTCTCATTACCTTCCGACCCTTCTCCGAGTTTACAACAAGTTATGAGTCACGTGTTAGAATAAATAACAGCCCAGCTTTCCCTAAGTCTCTAGAGATCATTTCGCTACACTAAACTCCCCCCTTAAGCGCAAATAATCCCACACGCTTTTCTACCAATGGATTTCCATTCCGGTTATGCTAGGATCTCCCTTTTTTTGAAAAACGCTCTTCATATTTTAATAGTTGTCTTACGGGTTTTTAACATCAGGGAGAGGCTGACGCGAATTTATGGCAATGAAAACAATCCTGGAGAACAGACGGTTATATATCGTCTGAGCAAGTAAGAATCTAAATTAAAAACTATGAGATTACTTGAGGTCCGTTGGGTGATGAACCTGCACTTGTCAGACAAGTTTCGGCCTTTTACCATAACCAGTAGTTGGTTAGGGCGTTTTTTATTGATTCCTGTCCTTTGTGTGTGCATCTTCAAGACAAAAGATTAGCAATTTGACTATTAATTATTAAGGATAGTGAAATTTGTTGAGTTGTGATCATTTTCTTCCTAAACTACTAAGTGAAACAACACTGAACCTGTGGAGGAATACAGCTGGACTGTACTAAAGACTAGACAAAATCGGAATTTAATTAATAACACATCCAGACATACTGGCAAATAAAAAACTATAGAACTGTGTGGTGTTTAGTGACCGTTAGCCAATGATTATTTGGTCTGGTGTGACGTAGGTTTCAGAAAAACATTTTTTTTATCGTGCCAACGTTTCGATCTTTATTGAGATCAACTTCAGGGCCTTGTGTTGTCTTTATTTCAATAAAAAGGTTCGCTGATTGATAGCCGATGCAGGTTTCTTCTCGTTGTTGGCGATGTCCTTGAGAATACTCTTTGCTTGTTGTCCACATGTAGTTGAAATCTGTTTATAGAAACCCTTGCTCTTCGTTCTTCTCGAGTAGAAACGTGTGGTGTTTAGTGACCGTTAGCCAATGATTATTTGGAGGTCGTGAGATGCGGTCTGGTGTGACGTAGGTTTCAGAAAAACATTTTCTTTATCGTGCCAACGTTTCGATCTTTATTGAGATCATCTGCAGGGTCAGCAGAACAAAGAACATGGGTTTCTATGAACAGATTTCAACAATGGACACCAACCAAAGAGTATTCTCTAAGGACGTCGCCAACAATGAGAAGAAACTTGCATCGGCTATCAATCAGAGAACTTTTTTTACACAAGGCCCTGAAGATGATCTCAATAAAGATCGAAACGTTGGAACGATAAAGAAAATGTTTTTCTGAAGACCTACGAACACCAAACCGCATCTCATAATCTCATAATAATCAAACTCCAGAACATTTTGGAAACAACGGATAATCAAACGACTAAACTCACATCACACAAGACTACGAAAAACCCCAACAATACAGACAAAAGCTTAAAGTTGATGGGAATACTGAGAAAGGGAAAAGGTAAAGTACCTAGGCATAGTTTTGGGAGAAAGGCTAAGTCCTACAAACCATGCCACCAATATCAGAGAAATGACGAGATGCGTCTTCACGAAACTAAGCTCGATCGCGAAATCAAAATGAGTCCAAGGGCGCTCTCCATCACTTACCAAAGCCATTGCCCATTGCCACGTACAGAGGAGCAGCTTGGATGATAAAATTGCAAAGCAGGAGTAGAAGCATCCTCGAGCAGAATCAAAGAATAGCGCTCCTGAGAACGACCAAAGCTTATAGGACAGCCCCTGCTCACGCCCTCCAAGTCCTTGCTTCCGCTGCACCAATAAACATTGTCCTCCACAGTAAAATTGTAATCCGGCAGCTAAAAGATGGAAAGGAGCCAACAATGGTAAATTTGGGTGCGTCAGACAGAAAATGGCTACGAACTGCACCTAGAAAGAGATCAGGGAGATCCTGACAGGTTGGATAGACAACTCGTGGCAGGAAAGATGGGACAGAAGCAGCAAGGGAAGGCTAACCCACGAGTTTCTACCCAGTATTGAAGACCGAGCAAGAGCAAAGTGGTTTCAACCAGATTTCTGGATCACACAAATAATGACAGGTCACGGAAATTTGAACGCTTACTTGGACCGATTCCGTAGAGCTAACAGACCACTGTGTCCCGACTGCGGAGTTGATGACAGTGTCCAACACAGACTATTCAACTGCCCCGTCCTTGAGAGTGCGAGGGAACCTCTAAAGCTCCTCTTCCGCCACACTTGGCCTCAACGAACTGGTTAAAGAAAAGAGGACGTTTGAGGTCCTCAAGCCTGTTAGCCGAGCTATGGTCGATAAAGTACCTGACTAGTTTTTTCTTTCTTTCTTTTTTTTTCTTCCTATGATAACTAAGTTACTTGTTAGATCTTAGCGTTTCCCTGAACTTTTAATTCCGGGCTGGTTACTCCTTGTACCCATAATTGTTAGTTATTTATTAAAATATTGTATATATATCTTTNGTGCTTGGACTAATCTTTCTAGGGGCTTGGACAGGTTTGAGAGGATAGAAATGGGACGGTAGTCTGTAGGGGAGGATGGGTTTGGGGTTTTATTGACAGGGTGGACAAGAGCTTTTTGCCAGGCTGTCGGAAAACCAGAGTTTAGAAGTGAGTAGTTATAAATGTGAAGTAGAACAGGTAGGGATGCCATCAACTCCAATGGCATTGGAGTGGGATTTGGTTATGGACTCGAGGACTTCGGCTGTGGTTAGATAGGAGAAATAGAAGTTAGACGAACTGAATGAGGGTCCAGAGGGAGTGGGTATGGGGACAGGCATTGATGAAAAATGTATTCAAAATGATTAACCAGCAAGGGGGAGACCTATTAGATTAGGTAAATTAATAATAAGAAAAATATTTCCCTCCTTCCTTGGGTCTTCCCTTTCAGGGTAAGGTGGAAGGAAGCCGTTAAGCACAAAATGATCTCCTAAATTTGCATCCCATTTGAATTAGTTTAGTGGCCGTGGCCCGTCGGTATGGGGTCTCCCTTATGTACGGCGGGGAGGTGGATGGGTAAACAAAGAGAAAGAAGATGGGAATACTAGAATGCGGGGATTTAATGTACCCCGACCACTACGCCATAAACCAAGTCAATCGCATTGTAGATTCCGGATGTCTTTTGTACTTTTATCAAGCATTTATTCGATCTGTCGCACCTGGAACTGCTGTGGAAACTTAATAAGATATTATCTTCCTCCTCGCTTCTTTAAACACCTATGATACTAGTGCTTCCGTGAAGTTCTTCCTATGGCAAAGTCCACCTACTTTCATTCAGTTTTCTGCATTTTTCGGCCCTTTTTTGATAGTTCAATCTGTGGCTGGATTGTAGGTCCAATTGGTTGTGACGAGCATGAAAAAAAATACGGAGATTAAAAAAGAGTGAAAATTAGGATCATTGAAACGTTGAAAAGTCCGATTCTTAACGCTAAATGGGCTCATTCAAAACTGCGTTCACGGAAACTCGTCAAAAAGGGATGAATCAGAGGCCAAGCTGCCAGACATCAAAGGGTTTTATTTAAAGGCGGACTTTTTATTCTGTGGTATAATTTATAACGACCGCTCGAGTCCCACTTTCGCTTAAATTGCGAACTTTCTGGAAAAAAATAACCAATATTTATGATGGCTAAATGCCGAAACGCGTCTAACAAACCCAGCGAGGATAGGCAGACCAAAATGATCAAATCATATAGTTTATTCTAGTTTTTTAGATCAAAAATGGAGAAAATCAACCTAGAGACTTTTAAAGTTAAAAAAGCATGTTTTGGTCAAATTTAACAAATTGAAAGAGAAAATATTTTATTCTGGGTCAAGAGACCTCTAGGAATAACAATTTTCTTTATTTATTACCTGTATTGATAAAATATACATCTCGTAATTTGAGGTTATTTATATTTATACACTGCACATCATGTCTTGAGGGGAATCGCCAATCATTGCTGGTCTCCCAGTTTTGTGCAAGGTTAGTCCTTGATGAGGAGGTCCCGAGGTCATCTCAGCTTTAATCGGCGGACAGGACTGTAGGGATTATTTCGGACATTGGGCTAGTTGGATGTGGTGAGTGGAGAGTTTTTCGTGGACTGGATTAATTTATTTACAAGGGGTATTTTGAGGTCATTGGGAGGGTGGCGTTGGAGACAGCAAGGAGCGTTAATTATAATTCTAAGGACTTTGGATTGGAAGGATTGAATTCGTTGGATGTCGGTAGGTTTGGCGGTGCCTCACAGTTCTAGTCCGTATGTTCAAATTGGTTTTAGTAGTGTTCTGTACAGTATTAGTTTGTTTTTTGTCGACAAATTCTATTCAGTTCGTGCCTTTTTATTTGGATGTGTTGTTTCCACGTCAGTCGTGAGTCAACATAGACCCTAAGGTATCTATATGCATTCAGCTTTGGGAATAGGTTGTTGAGGTGCATTGTGTGAGGACATTTGCTTCCGAGGGTAAATGTAATATGGGTGCGCATTTTTTCAGGAATAACAATAATAATAATAATAAAGTGGGAAGTTTATGGGCCGACAAACAACTGAGGTCATCGCCGGCCCTCTGCGTGTATTCCTTCTTTTTCTTTTCTTTCACGCATATTTTACTCGCGCATTGTTTAAACTGCAGCCATTTGATCTGGTTACTGACTCTCTGATTTCAAATATGTACTGCGTTGATATTCTAGAATGCTAGTCTCTAGTTTGTACCTCAGGTTGTCAAATACAGAATAGAAACAAAACATACAATACATATAAATACATCACCACAAACATAGATTTCTGATCACGTTTACTCCCCCAGAGTACTCGATATTCCTCGGAGCGGGGTTGTAAGCAACCCCTTCCTTTCTCGCTAATAAATTATTTTTACTCTCCAGACGTCAGGCACTCACCCGAGAGTACTCGATATTCCTCGGGGTGGGGTTGTAAACAATTCCTTCCTTTCAAGCTAATAAATTATTTTTCCTCTCCAGACGTCAGGCGCTCACCCGAGAGTACTCGATATTCCTCGGGGCGGGGTTGTAAGCAACCCCTTCCTTTCACGCTAAAAAATTACTTTTATTCTACAGACGTCATACGGGAATAACAATAAGATCACAAACAGTTGATAAATCTGGCTCTTGAATTAATGAAGGTTTGATATTAACAATAATGAAAAAAATCATTTCTGTTAATAGGATGTGGTAAAGTAAGACAAAATTTCACATAAATTTAGTATAAATTCTAAGGTTATATTCACGACAATTGGGAAAAACAAGTAAATATTAAAAAGAAAAATATTTTATATGAAAAAACAAACAAAAAATTTCCCTAATGATTTAAAAGTTAAAGAAGCTGCCATAAAAATTGAATTCAATTTCGTGGTCCGATTGACCAAATAATTTCTTTCAATTAATTAATCTTTATGTAAGAAGCAGACAGGGCGGCCAAAGAAGCAGCCAGAGGACCTCACGACGCTTCCCGACCTATACGCCCAGCGGATCTCAAGTTATTAATTTCAAATAAGATAAAAGAAGAATGGAAAAACCGCTGGACTCGGAAAAATAGAAATAACCCTGCCAAACTGTGGCAGGTTAAGAAAGACGTCGGTCCCTGGTTCACGGAAAATGGGTCAAAAAGGGAAAAGATCATACTGACAGGACTACGCATAGGTCATACAAGAATTACGCACGGGCACCTTCTAGCAGGAAAACGACCGCATAGGTGCTCATTATGCAAGGATAGACCTTTTCAATTGCAGAAGGGTCGACGTTTATAGGCAATATTTTGGAATATCATCGGACCTGTGCGTAGTCTTGGGGCACGGCAGCGGGCACAAATCGCTGTACCGGTACCTCAGGGCTTAGGGACTTTCAAATGTATATAGTTTATGTGTGTTCGTGCTGTGCTTGTGTTGTGTCGTGTTTGTGTGGTGTTTATGTTAATATATTAGGATGAATGTAATTTATTAGCGTGAAAGGAAGGGGTTATTTACTCCGCCCCGAGGAATATCGAGTACTCTCGGGTGACTGTCTGACGTCTGGAGAGGAAAAGTAACTTATTAGCGTGAAAGGAAGGTGCTGCGTATAACCCCGCCCCGAGGAATGTCGAGTACTCTAGGAGATAAATTTACAACAAGAGGCTAGCATTTTAAAATAACGATGTAATATAAAAGTAAAAGCAGAGAGTCAGTAACCAGATCGAGATGCTCAAATGGCTGCAATTCAATACAAAAACGCGAGAAAGACAGGAAAGAGAAGGAATACACGCGGAGGGACGGCGATGACCTCAGCTGTTTGTCGGCCCATAAACCTCCCACTTTATATATATATAATCTTTATGTAACGTATTGATTGAGATAAAAAAGTCAGTATCACGAGCGGGATTTGAACTCACTACCTTCGGCTAAATACGCCGCTGCTCTACCACTTGAGCTATCGTGACTTCGATCCCCTCGGGCACTAACCTCCCATCTGAACCTCACCTTTCAAATTTTTCCTCCATTTTGCCATTTTTCAAAATTTTGGTCTAAAATCTAATGGATTTAATTAGTAAAGTGAAGTACGTCTTCACTAAAGCTCTCCGTGGCCGTTTCATTTGTCGCCGAGAATCGAATAGATTACAAGACATTTGAAAAATGGCAAAAAGGAGGGAAAATTCAAGGTCGCG